ACTTACTTACTTACTTACTTACTTACTACTTACTTACTACTTACTTACTCTTACTACTACTCTACTACTACTACTACTCTACTCTCTCTCTCTCTCTCTCTCTCTCTCTCTCTCTCTCTCTCTCTCTCTCTCTCTCTCTCTCTCTCTCTCTCTCTCTCTCTCTCTCTCTCTCTCTCTCTCTCTCTCTCTCTCTCTCTCTCTCTCTCTCTCTCTCTCTCTCTCTCTCTCTCTCTCTCTCTCTCTCTCTCTCTCTCTCTGTGTATAAAGCCATGAAGCCTAATTAAGAAGCTTTGTTAGATCAATGGGAAGATTTTGTATTAAGGAGTGTAGTAGAAGTTCTTAAAAAATAGGCTTCCCATAGGCTCCTTTCTCTCTCTAACAGTGCCCTTTGTCTCTCTACATACCCTTTCTCTCTCTAAATACTCTATTAACTATGTTCTCTCTCTCTCTCTCTTTTTTTGTGTGTGTATGTGTGAAGCCGTGAAGCCGTGAAGCCTGATTAAGAAGCTTTGTTAGATCAATGGGAAGATTATGTATTTAAGAACTTTCAGACAAGTTATCAAACCAGCATTCTGTGACTTCCAGATATCAACAATTCTAGTTTCTAGGGAAATAGAACTTCCAGGTTCCAGGATGTTCGCAGCTTCCAGTTACGAAGCTTGCCCAAACAGATATCTTTTTTTAGGTTTCATGGATTGGTCTATTTCTGGCCACCACTTGTGTGAACAATAGTTCTAAGCCACATACACGAATATGAACCTTCAGTAATGTCAGCTATGTTCAAATGATGTGTTGTTGCCCAAAGGCATCCACATCATTACAGCCAAACCATAAAATATATGGGCTTTATGGTGGGTAACTAAAAATTTCATTCCATAACGCAATTTTCCTCATGTTAGCCTGGTAAAGAATATTAACTATTTACTATCAATTCAATTTCTATTCTGCTTTGTGCTGTATTACGTATTCAAATTATTACAGAAGTTCTCCAAGATGTAGACATTAATATGTAGAGATAACACTCCCAAGTGATGTAAGAGGTGATGTCCCATTATTCTCACGATAGTGCCAGACATTTCGGCCCAATTCATACAAACCAAATTCCCTAGTTAGATATGATTTATTGGGCTGTATCTTAGGCTCAATTTGATCCGTTCGCATGTTTTCTTTGACAATGATCCTGATTTGATGCAAGCTAAAGAAAGCATAGATCACAGCCACAATGTGAAGCTTGTACATCGATATTTAGCTTTGCTTACTGCACAATTTAATATACTCTGCAGATGCTCAATTAAGCAGGACACCAAATTAGTATAAGGCTAGACACCGGACAGTAGTACATGACCAAAAGAAAACAACTAGATAATGAGAAAGAATTGTATTTGGCTTTGCATATAATGCATAGTTGCTATGTTGATGAGCAGGATAATTGTAAATTGTATTGGCTTTGCATATAATGCATAGTTGCTATGTTGATGAGCAGGATAATTGTAAATCTACCTTCTGTATACTAAAAAATCCGGAACTCAAATTTGGAAAATTTCCCAGTAAAAATTAGACATCTTGTTTGCATCACATTTGCTGCATGTTGGTTAGTACTATTTGCACTTCTCCTAACATATGCTTGTAGCATGTGATTGAGAAAGGTGCACCGTGACTTTTAAGCTTTATTTTTCGTACACTATAATTTAGCTTCTCACTCTCCAATGTTATTTATCAATATTCTTTACTTCATCTCTTGGAAATACAAGTCTTTTTTTCTTTTGAATAAGGATGTAGTCCTTCTTTAGTAACTGGTATAAAAAAAAAAAAGGATGTAGTCCTTGATGGAGCTGAGAAAAAGAGGCATTTTCATGTGCACAGGAATACAAAGAGATGATTGCTGAGAGACGGAAAAAAGTGAGTAGTGGCATGGAGGACACGTTTGGCGTTGGGAAAAGCCAATGATTAAGAGCTTGAATCAATATTAATAGAAAAAGTTGATTTGTATGAGATGATCCCATGCATTGTATCAATATCTATGGAATTTGAAGGTGATTTTGCTTCCTCTCTTTGCAGTCATTATATACGTTCGTTTACTCCATAATCCTCTCTTTTGGGCCAAAAGGGCAAAAGAATAAATACCAACAAATCACAAAAGTTTAGGCGCACGTCAAAAACAGAAACCTACACGGATATCCCCCAATATCCATTATTGAAAGGACCCGGTTTCTATGCGGCTAAGCGCATATGGTTAGAAATGCGGGCCTCGTAATAAATCTATTTTTTAGATGGATTTTAAGATTTAATTTTTAAGGACATGTAATCTCTAATATGGAAATCATGAATATGAATAAATAAATAAAATTTTAAAACTAAAAATAATAATTTTAATGAGAAAACATTTGGACCGTTAGTTTTCATTGTTTTTAAATGGAACATCTACTTGCATCCATTTTTCAGATGGATGCTTTACACTTTCTGAACTACACATGTAGTAATGCAGTCCAGCCCTCATGAAACAATTTTCCTTTCTTAAAATTTCCCTCTGAAAATTTTGTTATTACGTTTCATACTGTTTTTTTTTTTTTGACAATAGTACTTCACTTTTATTGATAATAATGGAAAGACAATATATAGCTCAAAACAAAACAAAAGAAATCAAAGAATTATCTCTTTATTTTTTGGCCCCGAATTGCTTCTTCCTAAGCAAAACAAAAGTAATCAAAGAATTATCTTCTTTTTTTTTTTGTCCGGAATTGCTTCTACTTTAGACCTTAAAGTTCTGAACTTGAGTTTGGATCAACTTTAGGCTGAGGTTTTGGACTTGGGATCTCATTCGAGATATTTTTGTCATTTACATAGTTCGGACCTTGAAGGTGAAGTTGTCTGAAGCCTCAGACTAACTTTGGAGAGGGCCGTAGGAGCAATTTAGAAAAAAAGATTAGAAAGTAGAAAAAAAGGGATGTGAGTATAAATGAACTTTTGAGAGGGGTTTTTCAAATACAAGTAAACAGGGGAACATTAATATAAATTTCTCTAAAAAATATGATGCAAATCACCAATTTTGGTCTCACTCAGGCTTTGAACTCATACAGAGCTGTGGGATGAGTGATCACCATCGCATTCCTGTGCTAATGTTTCATATGGCATGGGATTATAGAAGAATGCTACCAACGTATTAGGCATGGCAAGCAACATATTTATCTTTATCTGATGTACTCAAATCAGTGAACATAAAACCTGTTCTAAACCCATTTGACTCGCAAAAGTCAACTTGGTTTGGCGCATGAACCAGTTGTACAAAATGGGCCGATTCAACCCGATTCAACTCAGTACTGGTGGGGTGGCCGGTTCGAGCCGACCAGTCAGACTTTTCTATACACTGATCAAGTACAAAAGCCACGCATTACCTCTCCTTACATGCATATCAAACATAGGCTCTATGCCCTAACGAAAAGTTCACAGCAAAAAGAAATTTTTTCTTAGCAGTAAGGGTGGAGTTTCTATGAGTCAGGGGCTCAAATGTACGCATGCCTCCCACTCTAAAATCCACCCTAAAGATGGATTTTGGGTCCAAACTTCTAGGGATTCATCATCTAAGGCTAAAGTGATCATGAACATGCCCAAAAAAAAAACCAAAATTTTTTGAAAAATTAAAATGAGTTTTTTTGGGTTTTTTTTTCACCATCAATATAATATTTTGGTCCGGTGCGTTTTTATAACTTCCATCTTAAAGATGGACGTTCAAAATTCAGCAGGCTCTTGCATCTGCTGACTCACATAAGACCTTTCCTGCCAGCAAACCTAAGATATTTCTCATAAAAATTTTCGACAAAATCACTCAGTTCTTCGCTTGGACCCAGATTCTTACAGTTCTATCATTATCCAGGCCAGCAGAAGCGATCATATTCTCTGTTGGGTGACAAGAAACAGAAATTACAGTGTCAGTATGGCCTTCCAATTTTTGAACCATGTTTTTACCCTGGAGATCCCATATATACACACAACGATCCTCTGATCCACTCACTATATATTTGCCATTTGTCACCGAAAATGTTGAAGTTATGCAATACACTCGGTTGATGTGACCTGTGTATGTTTTCAGAAACTTTCCGGTAGAGTAGTTCCACAGCTTCTGCAAAGGTCAGGAAACAAAAACAATCAGAATGAATAGTTTAATGACCATAGCCACAGTAGAATATGGGTTCAAATTCAAGCTAGCTTACAACTAAAGCAAGATATTTTAGCTAACACTTCACCAATGATGACTCTGATAAACTGATTTGTTCAAATACAACGAACTAAAGTTCAATATCTCTATTAGAATTAATAGAAAGTCAAATACTCACTTGTACCAGTTGTTTTATAGCTCTCTGGATTCGGTGACTCCCCCTCCCCTCAAAAATTCTACTTGCTTCCCGTTCATACTTCATTTTCAAATAGTGTGTTTCTTTACCCATGATTGTGGGTCAGTCCCTTTCTGGTTATATCCTCTGTCCAACTTGAGAAAACCCTTTCACTTTACTGCTAGAAAGTAGTATAACAAAGGTGAAATTTATTTTTTATTCTAGCTTCTAACATTTGCCAATAAGGAGAAAATGGAATTAAACGATGTACAATTTTAGACGCACTGGCTAAGTTCTCAGCTAGAGATTTCACAGCATTCATTGACCGCATTCATAGATCAGGATAATGAACCCTTCCCCGAAGAAACATTTGGCGCATAGAAAGGGCATGCCCACACCATCCCCTTTCCTCCAAAAACCCTATTCCAGGTTTTTACCAGTTCTTTGGACGGGGATAACCATTGCTGTGGGTGAGGGAGATGATGCTACTCTAGGTTTAGGTGATCCTTCCAAATCATAAGCCGGGTGCGTGAAATCATTGATTCTAAGTGCTAACTCTCAGTCAAGTCAATTTAAATTTGTCCGCAACCACTAGATTCTTTTGAGGGCTTGGCTTGGAGAAAGCTGCAGGTTTTTCAATGCAGACTCCTGGGCCCGGATGAAGGGATTCGAAAGACAGCATGAATCGGGAGAGGGGAAATTGGGCAGCTCGATTGATCGAGAAAGCTTGGACGGCCCCCAAGATTAGCAATTTATAAGATTCGAATGACTAATTGGCCGCTTTGGGAATCATGAATTATCACGTGCTGATGGTCAGTACAGAATGAAGCTCTACCCATCGAATCCAGCTTCCATTTCCCAGAATTTTTTCTTCTATGACTGGAAGTAGAACCAAGTTCGAGTTAGTTTGCTTCAAGCTTCTTGGATCAAGCTAGGTGCTCCAATTCGAACAATGAACTCATGTATCCCATAAGGTGGGGTTCTCAAATATATAAAGAATGCAAGCAATACTTGTTTCCGACTAGTTGTTTGCTTGCAACATGTGGTTGTTTAGTTACATTTAAAATCAAAGGCCCCCCTTTCGGGGACCAAATATTTGGAACAGCACCTACTTTGCCCTCTGCAATATTTCACAGGTACCTCCCTTTTTGGGCCACTATTTCAATACAAGGCCAACAAAACTCCTAGGACCCTCTGCGTGAAAAAGGGCACAGCTTGGCCTTCGCCTTCTCCAACATCCATAGGCACCTCCCTTTTTGTAAATTTTACACAATCAAAATGCAGCTTATTATTGAGAAAAGGAATATATACAAGTAGAACCTGTTAAGTTCCCAGATCTAATCCATACAGTATTTCATATCCTTAGCAGGACTCATCTTTCCTTTCATTCCAATAACTGATGATCCACTTCTCATCTCTATGTTTAGGGTTAAGTCCAACCTTTGGGCCACAATGTTTGACTGAAATCAGACCTCCATCTCCCAATGATGTCCACTAAGCTAAAGGGTAATAGACTAATAGGAAACGGATAACCGCTCATGACTCACTCACTTTTGCCTCATAGCAAATAACCCCAGTGCAAAACTGGTCACCAAGCTCCAACAAGTCTACACAAGCAATGGTAAGTAATTGCTTTCTAGGCATTTGAAACACTTAAAATAGGGAAGCTACAACATAAAAAGCCTTTATACTTCCCAGAATTTTCTATGATCCAAGCTCCAAAGATTTATCCACATTCTGAAGGTTCCAAATTTAGTAGTGCACTAACTTCTACTGATTTGTAAAAGGACGTGAGCAAACAGTAACAAGGACTTAGCTTCGTAGCTCTTTTCAATCAACTTTGCAGCTAGTCACCAATATGTCCTTAGTTCTACAATACTAAAATGCTGCTACCGACTTTTTGCTCAGTAAAGAAGCAAACTTGTTAGGTACCATGATTTGCTCAAACCATCAGCTTTTCCTGGAACCAATAGACAAAATGTGTGTTGATGGGGACCAGTATTTATATGATTGAGAAACATTCTTTTGCATTTCTCATAACATGTGGCATTGCAAAACATGAATCTTCCTGCTTCATTAAACATTAGCTTATGACCAAATTATGGAAATTCCATCAGTTTTACTCAAGTTCAGTGTTCTGAAAGATTATTGAGTTGTCGTCTTTGCATTGCTCTAAATGGTAGGGTGTCAGAGGGGTTGTGCACATCTCAGTGTGGAGATTCGAACCAGGGATGTGAAAAGGTGTAGTCCCAAGTTCCACAGACAATGCCAAATGCCATGGGCAACATTGGTTTGATTTCTACTACCATTCACATTCAACAATTTATCATTATTGATAGAAAAACAAGTGCAGAAGGTTTTAGGCTCTGTTATGGTGTACTGTGGATAAAGAACTAAGAGTATACTATAAAAAAGTCCAAGTAATAATCACTTTTTATTTTATTTTTTTTGATGCTGCTAACTGTGCTATATTAAGAAAGAGAAGAGTACAAATAGACAGAAGGGGGGGTAGCGACCACCCACTAGACAGGGGCTCCAGCCAAAAAATAGGCTAACCACAGAGTAGCGGCCCAATACAAAAAATGAGGATGCAATAATCACTTTATTAATGTCATTTCTTCAAACATAGCAATTTAGCACCAAATTGATTTCCCAAATAGAACCATCAACTCTAACCAACCTTTACTTGTTTTGACTGATTTATCAAACCCATATAAAAGATATGACAAATCATGTGCATTCATCATAAGGAGAATTGAGGCTCAAACGGTTATCCGCGTTTTGATAAATGCGGGGATTATCGAGGTAAGGAGAATGTTTGAGAAAATTTTAAAGCATGCATAAAGAAGATTAATGTCGACAAGGCCACCCAAATCACCGGTCGTTACGTGCTCTAGGGATTATCCCCACGCACGCGAATGCCCGGAGTGGTTTTGTTAGGTGTGTTTTTGGTCACATACAAAGACTGGATGTGTTTTGATGCACGCTCAATAACGATATGTCAACCAAGCTTCATATGAGGCTCAGTGAAAATGAAATGCCCCATGTGATATAAAACATATAATATGATCAAGATCCATCATATGAGAGGCTTGATATGCCTAAAGGAATCTTGACTCGTCGACTGATGTAGTGCTAAGAGCTCCTCAACTAACATATTCAAAGTTGACTTAAAATGATGAAGCCATCTCATTTTGAGACAAGTTCTAGGACACATATACTACTAAGACTCTATGCACGCCTATCCACGTGATATATGGAGGAATATATATATAACTTAATATTGGCATTCACATTAGTTATGCACGTGTGTTATAACATATGGATCATAATGATAGATCATGAAAACATTTCTATTTGAGACGAAACTCCGGAATGCAAATTATAAATGCCTCTCCACTGGATACTGGATGAGTTCTGGGTGAGATGTGATATGACTCTTTAAAAGATCCGCCATACGTTGAAATAATGTGGTTTTAACAGACAGAGCTTAAGGGCAGCCTCGCCATACGTTGATATATTGAGGTGAATCCCTAAGATATACATGATAAGGCTTCATATGCCTTAAATTCCAGGGGTAATATGACTTGGACGATATTTAGACCTGGCTTAACCCATGTCCGTATCCACCGTCAGTTTGGATATGCCTCAACTGACACCCTGAAACTTGATGCCTTCGGGATTAAGCTGAGACTCTCACAGGAAACCATATTTAAGGCGTTGTGACCCTCTCCCTGAAGTTTCATATTAATTCGATGAGGGTTGGCCCATTATTCATATAGCTCAACAGTTGGAGCTTTAAAAGCCCCATGTCTTGTGTGTTCCAGACAAAATATCATGCGGCTACTGATGTTGGAATTTCACCCTTAATGCGAGGAATTTTCCATGAAATAGGGATCAGTGCATCCTCAGTCCAATATTTATCACCCTTGAAAGGTGTGGAAAATTCTATGCAAATGAAGAAAGCATATATCCAGTTGGATGGGCAAAAAGGTGAAATAATGAGTAATGAAGAAGGACATATCCTAATTTTTCTCACAAGACAGCTTGGTTGAATTGCAAGACCGCACGTTCAAACTTGAAAGAGGATGATTGACCGAACATGATAAGCATAGATTCAAATTTGCATATGGTTGAGATTGGGTTCAAAAGATATACCCGCAGATTCAAATTCGTGTGAAGCCTCGAGTTCAAATTCAAACCTACGTAGATCCGCTCTCCTAATCCAAAGTTCAGTCCACTAATTTAAATTCGTATAAAGGATAAGGACTGAAATGAGGATTCAGCGTGAAGGTTAAGAAAAGGATAAGCATCATCAAGAGATCGACAGAGATGAAAAGATAATATTTGGTGGTTATCAAAAGGATATTAAAGTTTATCACTTGGTGAAGATTCTAAAAGTCTAGCGAGCAGTCAAGAAAGGGGTTCGCATAGCTTTCTTTGCGATAGGCACTCCCTGCGAGGACATATCTCATCGCCATAGGTTGCCCAAACATTTATCACAGTGCTAAGATAAAGTGAGGAAAAAAAATAAAGAAAGAGATCGATTATGTGCTCTAAAATATCCACTGGAGGCCCGTTCTCTAAAAAGGAAGCAGACATAGGATTAAATCCCTGCTGTAGATCAGGTATACGGGTTGATATCCCATGTGATGTTATCTACTTTTATTTAATATGTTTGTATAGTTTTCTTATTAAAAACGAATGTATAGGTCTTGAGGTTAGGATCAAGGGTAACTGGCCCTATTTACTTTTGTTGTACTATTTGGTCAATGTAAATTGTAACAAGGGATTAAACGCCTAGAACTATTCCGTTCCTAGTATATGATATATGAAAAACCTGTGTTTCTATCATATGGAATACATGGGCGAATTTGGTCTTGAATATGATGTTATCTAGTAAAGAAATTAATTAGAGTCTATGCTCATTTTAATTATATATTTTTTAAAACATCCTCATCCCTTTTATGACATTCACATTTCGGAGCGTTCACATAGTAACCAAGCCAAAAGGAGTAATAAGATAAATTACATGGAAGCATATAATCTGCACAATGTATAGCAGCCCCACATTTTGAGCATCATAACTTTATGATCTCTCCACACAACCCATAAGCTGCCACTCATGCAAGAAATCCTCTAGCCTGCCAATATCACAGAGTCGAAAGGGTCCCATACCCAAGAAGGAGCCAAATCATATGCCACTGTAACTCACAAGTAATAGGGAAACCCCATATATCCCAATAGGACCAAAGAAAGAAAACAAAACCTCCTACCCAAGAAAGTAATGCAATAGCCCCATAAAACCAACAACAAACTAAAAGTGTCTTCAAATTAAAGAAACAATTTGATTCGATTTGCCATTAAAAATTTGCAACTAAGAGTGGAAGATAAATTACATCCTTCTAGAGTGATAAAAAAAAGCGAATGGGGCTTTCCCACCCAAGAAAGCAGAGTTCATTAGAGCCCAATAAAACCAATATACCAAGAAAAATAGCCCCAGAGATTCAAGCCCAAATGACTCATGCCAATCAGTGCTTAGGGTCTCTGCCAAGCTACTCAGACTAGGTTTGGTACTCAGGTAAAAGTTGGGGATATTTAAAAATAAAAAAGAAGAAAAAAATTCTTAAATTGTAAAATCAATATATAAATATTCCTTATGCAAGTGTGATGTTTTTTATAATGATTGGTGCGTGTTTCTTGTCATATAACCCATTTTTAAATTTTCCTCTGTTTTTGGATTTCTCTGAAATGTTTCTAGCACTAAATCATTTTTTTCTAAATTCATGTTTTATGCGTTTTTTATATCTTGTTCGGACTTTTTATGTTATGTTTAGTTTAGTTTCATTCTTTCTATTTTTACTTTATTTTTAGGGCTTTTTTTGGCCCTGTATATTACTTGGATGAGTCCACTGAGACTCAGCTGAGGTGCTCTGCTCAGGCAGGGCCCAGGTACCACCGACTTATAAAAAAAGTAAAGGATTTATACATTTAGAAGGAGCTCAATTGAACTCCATCATCCCAATTGAACTCCATCAATATTAGTCATAAAACCATTATCTCCAAGATTCAATAAAGTACAATGAACTCTACCATTATCAAAATATCAAAAAGAAGAAACACAACTATTATAGACTCAAGAAAGGACCCAATTACGTACCCATATTACTCACATAATCGGTATCATGCAAGTAAAAAACAGAGAAAATTCATAGATTCAAGACAACCCAATTTATCTCAAGAACCATCAGTTACATACCAATAAAGAAAGAATCCATTCACTGGATAAAAAAACTACCAAAAAAATAAGAACTCGCAGAAAAAGGGGTAAATACACAGAGAGACAAGGATATGGAATAATCAAACAGAGCAAAGGATGTGGAATAATCAAACAGAGCAAGAACTCAAGCATGAAACTCACAAGTGTATCATCAAGGGTAGCAACAAGTATGAACTTCCCATTGGGCGAGAACTTCACAAAGGAAACTGCTGGCCGCCCCACATCGATCAGTGTCTTGAGCCTCGCCCCAGTGGCTGCATCCCAAATCTGGCACGACCCATCATGGCCTCCCGACACGATCAGAGAACCGTCCCTATTGAAATGCGCCGATGTCACCGGCTCAAGGTGGGCTACCGAGATCACCCTCAAACACTTTCCAGTCTTAACCTCCCAGATCCTCAGAGTCTGATCGAACGAACCCGAAACAATTAGATTCGATTGGGAGTTAAAATTCACGCAGAATACAAAGTGAGAGTGTCCTCTGAGGGTTTTGAGGCACTCAGTCGAGAGAGCATCCCAAATGCGAAGGGTCCGGTCGTCGGAGGCAGAGCAAACGTAGCGGGAGTCGGAGGACCAGGCAAGGTCCGAGACGCCGTCAGAGTGGCCAAGAAGGGGGCGAGGTGGGGACGGAGGGTTGGAGAAGGGGAGGGAGTAAAGGAAGAGGGAGGCGTCGAGGGACGAGGACGCAAGGAAGCGGCCGTCGTTGGAGAATTTGACACAGGAGACGGCGCGGCTGTGCGGGGTGAGGGTGTGGGCTAGGCGGTAAGGGCTGTAGGGGGTTTGGGCAGCGCTCGACATTCTGGTTCTCCCTCCCTCGGAGATTTTCGTAAACTCTGAAAGAGAACCCTCTCTCTCTCTCTCTCTCTCTTAAAGAAGTGGATACAAAATATGCGATGCAAATCTCAATCTCAATTATATGGTAGGTTTATAGTTTGCTAACCCGGTAGATAGGAGTGCCTTTGGGGTATATAGCACTCAATAACTTTTGTTTTTGTGGTTAACTACTCTGTGTGGTTAACTACTCTTACTGCTTATACATAACATCCAAATGGATTGTTATTATTTGAATAGTATTTAGATGTAATTTGAGAAATAAGTAATATTTAGATGCACATTGAAAAATATATTGCTCTTAAAGCGGTTTAATATGGAATACGGTTTAATATAGAATCATCTATATTTCACTTTAAATTTGTTCTTATTAAATATTAGAGGAGAATTTGCTCTTATATTGGTCTTACTAACTATGGGAAGAGAATTTACTCTTTCTTACTAAATAATATTGCTCTTACTAAATATTGGAAGAGAATTTGCTTTTATATTGTTCTTACTAAATGTTGGAAGAGGCCAATATAGAAGTAATTATCACTTCTTTATCTGTATCTAAACCTTAATCCCAAAAAATTCTTTTTTTTCTAAATGAATAATCATTATAATTTAAATAAAAATATAATTTATGTCTAGATCTAAATCTTAATTCCAAAAAAATATTTTTTTTTTAAAAAGATTTAGTAATCATTATAATTTAGCCGCCTAAAAAAAAAATCCATTTTTAAAAGATGTAGTAATTTATCTGCACGGCTCGCTTGGAGAGCAAGCTCAAAGAGAAGGGATGGTACAGAGAATGGATTCAAGCAAAATGATGAGATGAGAGAAATTGATACCATGATTTAAAAATGGCATTGAATCTGGGAGGCAATGGTTGAGAAAACAAGGAAGACGAAAAAAGGTAGATTCAAAGATAGGAAGAGGAAAATTGATACCATGATTTAAAAATGGCTTCGAAAACAAGAGCTCTAGAGAGGAAAGTGGTAGGTTGAGAGGGAAAATGGAGTTTGAGAAAGAGAAGATAATATAGGCAGTAGAGAGGGAAAATGTGCTAGATTACCGTCACATGTTTAAAAATTTCCTAGCAACTTGTAATAGATTTCACTATATTTAAGAAAATATTGTGCTAATTTATTTTTATTTTTTTACTGATAAATGTAGCCAAGAAGTGAAAATGTGATATTTTCAATAATCTATTTCACTGTAATATATTTTCAAGTACCCGGCCCCTTATACTCTTTTTTTATATTCTCGTGCTACAGTTTGTCCACGCCAATTTTGTTTCTAATGGGTTAAGTATACTACCTTTGTGCGATCCTGCAAGGTCTCTTATTTTGCATCTAAGAGGGTTTTTGAAATTGAAAAATACAAACCGCAAGCCGAGAATCAACTTTGCAAATTGATTTCTTTACAGGTAATCATTTCGTCCATTCTCTTTCTCTCTCTTACATTTTGAAAGAAAACTTACATTGGATATCATGTATCACAATGAGGATCATATTATTTTTGTAATCATTTAATTTGATGCATTCTCATGGTTAGAAGTTCATAAATATCATCAAAGTGGTCATCTGATAAAAGTTTACAAACTCGACGCCTTCGATAAGATAATAAGGTATTTAATCATTTAGGATAACATTAGCAACCAGTATTTAATCATTTAGGATAACATTAGCAACCAGTATTTAGGATATTTAATCATTTACAACCAGTATTACATAGGGAAAAAGAAAAAGAAAGATCTACAACACCACAAAATTTAGTAGTATAAAGTAAATAAATAACAACTTCTACAATGCTCTCAATTGACAGGTTAAAGGCCTGTGTGAATGTTTTCCCTTGGCATTGCCTGCTGATGACCAAAACAACTCATGGTCCTCTCCACCATCTCCTCTGCTATATCCCAATACTTCACTCTCCATTCCTTTTTGAGAGCCAAAACAACAAAAACTTCCCAAAGGCCAGTCAAATATACCAAAACCATGTGCTCCTCCCAGCTCCTCCTTGATAAATGCTGCAACTCTTCCCTGTTGATCCCCCACACAAGAGAGGATTCCCAGAAAAAACAAAAGGATCCAATGTCAGTGTGTCAAAATGAGGAGAGGATGGTATTTTCCCACTAAGCCTATTATAAGACACATTCATCCACCCTAGAGAGTCAATTTTGATGAGAGCATTAGGGATTTGCCCAGATAATTGGTTCTGGCTAAGGTCTAGGGATTCTAGATTAGTGAGGTTCTCTATACTCTCAGGAATTTGTCCAACCAAGTTATTTCGTGAAAGGTTAACATGTATAATTCTTGTAACTACCCCATCTGTTCAGGGATTGCACCATCAAGGTCATTATTGGATGGGTCCATTCCCGTGTGATATGAGTATACTTTAATCAAATTCAGACGCATTCCCTTTGTGGAGAACTCCATGTTTAGGTTCAAAAATACAAGATCAATCAAGTACCCTATAAGAAGTGTTGGTGTTTGTTTTATTAGAGTTTCAAAATTATTGAGCTTAGATGGAATGGTTCCCTCCAGTTTATTGTTTGATAAGTCCAAAAACTGGAGCCGGTGCAATCCGGTAATCTTAGTTGGGATACTTCCACTAAAATCATTTGATGTTAACAGGACGGCGCATAAGTCCGAGAGATTGCCCATAAATGGAGGGATAATCCTATTGAAGAAATTGTATCCCAAGTTCAAAAACTCCATACCGTTTAGCTCTTGGATAACTTTTGGGAATGACCAATTTAGATAATTGTTGTCCACATGAAGTGCTTTAAGTTTCTTTGCATTTCCAAGTTCAACAGGAACCCCTCCTATCAAATTGTTGTCTGCAAGGTTTAAAGCAATGAGGGAGGTGCAATTTCCTAAAGCTGAGGGTATGGTGCCACTGAAAAGTTTTTGTGATAAGTTTAGGCTCATTATGCCATTGTTTAATGACAAAGGGATTTCAATGTTATGAGGAGTGATTGAGATCGAACCATTAAAATTATTGTGGGATAGATAAAAAATTTCTATGTTATGAGAAGGTAATAGAACGTTTCCATGAAGCCTATTATTTGCAAGGTTGACACCTGAATGCATGTATGATATTGCAAGACTGAAAGAAAATGGAAGGGTGTTACGTTTCCAGGTTTAGTTTATTTTTCAATAAAGTATCGTGTTTAGCACGAGCAGCTGTTGTTTAGGTAGTATTGTTTACTTCTATTTAGGAATTTGTTGCTTAATGTTAGGAGTTGTGGTAGATGGTTTCTAATGGGGTCTCCATGATACGTGTAGTTAGTTATTGTAAGGGGTCACATTCCTATTATATAGGGATTGTGGGCAGAGAGGTGGTAGAGGGGTTAGTAGAGGGCTATAAATATCTTATTGTAATGTGGAGAAAGGGGATAATTATCAATATCTTGTGCCCAGCACTTCAGGAGGTTTAGTTTCCCTCGAAGAAACTACTAATTGTCTCTCTCGTAAATCTCTTCTTATACTCTATCTTGGGTAAAACGTTCCTCCCAAAATAGGTAAAAGTAAAAATAAAAGGGTGTCTTACGAGTTGAGATATCTAGCTCAGGATTTTGACGTAAACACTTTGAACGAACAACAACGTCAAACTTGCTCAGCAAGTAGAACCCATAATAATTTGGTATCAGAGCCAGGCATGGCGGATCAACACATTGAACGTTTGGAGTCCGAGATAGGGAGCTTGAAGGCAGAGCAGAAGCGAAGCTTTAAGGACATGATGGACTCCATGCAGCAGATGTTCGCCGCGATCAATGCTGGCCTTGATCAAGCAAGGAACAACCGCGAAAATGGTGAATCGTCCCATACAGGGAAGACGCATATGGGACCATTTTCGAATGGCAGCTCGGGGTCCGTTGGAACCTACCTTCTGCGAATGGTCAAATCGGACTTTCCCAAGTTCAATGGGGAAGAAGACCCCACTAGATGGGTATGTAGAGCCGACATGTTCTTCGAATTTCATCATACACCGGAAGAGGATCGAGTTCCTCTTGCGTCATTCAACTTAGAAGGTGATGCTCAGCTATGGTACCAGCTAATGAAGGAAGAGGGTGGGATTGCCTCTTGGGATGACTTCAAAAGTAGCGTCCATGCACGTTACGGCCCAACCCAATTCTAGGATTTTTTTGGTGATCTCACAAAGCTGCTGCAAACTGGGTCTGTATGAGAATATCAGACTCAATTTGAGATTCTGTTGATACGGACAGGACGATTAACACCATTACAACAAGTGGGGTGTTTCATAAGCGGGCTCAAAGAAAGCATTAAGATGGATATGCAGGCTTGTCAACCGGCAACTTTGACTGCGGCAATAGGACTCACCCACCTTTATGAGCATTGCCAACTGAACACCAAGAAGGCAATGCCTAACAAACCAAGGAAAACCGGCACCAACCAGTCTAGCTCGAGTGGGTCTTTTATGCCAATTAAAAGGTTGTCTCCGATAGAACTCAGCGAACGGCGTGCAAAGGGACTTTGCTTCAATTGCAATGAAGAGTTTAGCCCTAGCCATCGTTGCAAGAAGCTATTATTCATTGAAGGGAGCTGGCCAAACGAAGAAGAGGAAGCAGAGGCGTAGACAAACATGGCAGACGAAGTACTTGAAATCTTCTTCAACGCCATTTACGGGGCAAAAGCTCCACAGAACATGCATGTTCAAGGAAGTTTGGGCCAACAAAGGGTAACTTTTCTAATTGACTCTGGTTCTATGCATAATTTTTTGAATAATGCTATTGCACAGAAAATGGGCCTAAATCCTAGCAGTAACGGAAAGTTTGAAGTGGTTGTTACCAATGGTGAAAAGCTTTCTAGTTCTGGACGCTGCAAGGCTGTATGCATGATGCTGCAAGGAATCCCTCTAGTGGTGGATCTCTATCTGTAACGCGGTTCTCGGAGCGCAGTGGCTGAGCACGTTATGCCCAATCATATGGGATTTTTCCAAATTATGGATGGCATTTACTTTGAATAGGAAAGAAGTCTCATTACAAGGATTGAAATCAGTTGATAATAAGGTGGTACATATGGATGAGATTAGCAAGGACATCAAAAAAAGGGGAAAAGGAATCTTGTTGCAGATATATTCACTTTTTATGGAAGGCATGCCAGGTAATTCTACACCCGAATTTTCTCCTCAATTTTCTAATAGCCAACTTAGCAAGATGTTACTCTCGTTTGAGGACGTTTTCAAGTAACCACAAGGGCTACCCCCTAAGAGAGCACACAACCACCGAATCCCCTTGAAAGATGGAAGCAATCATGTTTCTATACGGTCCTACAGGTACCCATATTATCAGAAAGCTTAGATAGAAAAGATGGTGACCGAGCTATTGAAATCTGGGGTGATAAAACCTAGCAATAACCTCTATTCTTCACCGGTGCTGTTGGTAAAAAAAACATGACAACTCGTGGAGGATGTGCGTTGACTATAGGGCTATAAATCAGCAAACAGTAACGGACAAATTTCCCATACCCAATATTGACGAACTTCTGGATGAATTGCATGGGGCCTCCTTTTTCACAAAGCTTGATCTTTGGTCAGGGTACCACCAAATTCGCATGCAACCAGAAGATGTTAAGAAGACGTCATTTCGCACCCACCATGGCTGTTACGAATTTTTGGAAATGCCTTTCAGGTTAATGAACGCCCCTTCTACTTTTCAATCTTTGATGAACAATGTTTTCAAAAATTACCTACGAAAATTCATATTGGTGTTTTTTAACGACATTTTGATTTATAGCAAGAATTGGGAAGACCATTTGAAGCATATTGGTCTTGCACTATCTATTTTACGGGCTAACCAGTTATTTGTAAAAAAAGAAAAGTGAGCTTTTGGGCAACAGGAAGTGAAGTATTTGGGGCACCTCATCAGTCAAAATGTCGTGGCCGTGGATCCAGAAAAAATTATAGCCATGACCAACTAGCCCAAGCCCTCAACGTTAAAAGCTCTCCGTGGATTTCCGGGATTAATAGGATATTATCAAAAATTCATTCAAAATTACGGTAAAATTGCTGCCCCATTAACCAATATGTTAAAAAAAGATAGTTTCAAGTGGGAACCGCAGTTCGAGGGATCGCTCAAGCAGTTGAAAATGACAATGATGCTAGCCCCAGTGCTCACCCTGCCTGATTTTTCAAAAAAATTCATCGCTGAATGTGACGCTTCCGGAGCTGGGATCGGAGGGGTTGATGCAAGAGAAGCGACCCATAGCGTTCTATAGCCAAGCTTTACATGGTAGAAATTTGTTTTTATCCACTTATGAAAAAGAAATGTTGGCTTTGGTTCTTGCAGTACAGAAGTGGCGGCAATATTTACTTGGGCAACAGTTCATCTTAATGACCAATCACCAGAGCCTAAATTACCTATGGGAATAAAGGATCACCACACCAGCGCAGCAAAGGTGGTTAATGTAGCTCATGGGCTTTGATTTCGTAATTGAGTACAAGAAAGGGAAGGAAAACTTGGTGGTTGATGCGTTGTCTCAGGTGGAAGAAAGGGATGAAAACTTTGCATTATCTGTGCCGGTCCCACGTTGTCTCAAGCCAATTAAAAAAGAGGTGAAGGAAAATCCCAAAATGCAGGACTTAGTGACACGAGTGGAACAAGGAGAGGCGTTGGTCCATGGAGCTACAAAGAAGGAGTTTTATTCTTTAAAAGTATAATTTTCTTGCTGGTCGGATCTCCTTTAATCCCTACCATTACGGAAGAGTTCCATTCCAACACACACGAGGGGTTCCACAAAACTCTCCATCCAATAAAGTCCGTTTTTTACTAGAGTGGAATGAGAAGGGAAATCCGTGATCATATTTGACAATGTGATACATGCCAGCATCAGAAATGGGAAAACACGTCTCCTCCAACCACTCCCAATTTCCCAACAGGTATGGACTGATTTGTCCATGGACTTCATTGATGGCCTTCCGAACTCAAATGGTAAAACTACTATTTTCGTGGTTGTGGACCGCCTATCCAAAGCTGTCCATTTCATTCCAATCTCCCATCCCTGTACAGCAACATCGGTGGCTCAAATATTTTTTAATCATGTTTTTAAATTATATGGAATGCCTAAGTCCATTGTTTGTGATAGAGAGCCAGTGTTTACAAGTGTTTTTTGGAAAGAACTCTTTAACTTGCAGGGCACCGCTTTCAACTACTCATAAGCCTATCACCCCCAGAGCGATGGTCAGACGAAGGTGGTGCATCGTACAATTGAAATGTACTTCGGGTGCTTTTCAAGTGACAGGCCCAAGGAGTGGGCTTGTTGGATTGCGTGGGCTGAGTACTGCTATAATACCAGCCTGCACACTACCACAAAGAAGACTCCCTACGAGGTGGTCTATGGGCGTGCTCCACCCACGTTATTGTCTTACATTCCTGGTACAACTCGAGTGGAGTCAATTGATTGGGAACTTCAAGATCGGGACCAAGTTCGCAAGCAACTACGCGAACAGTTGCAACTGTCCCAGAACCGAATGAAGAAAGCCTACGATATTCACCGAACTGAGAAGAACTTCAATGTGGGGGATTTAGAGTATCTACGCCTTCAGCCCTATTGCCAAGTTTTGGTTGCCCTTCGAAGAAATCTCAAGCGCTCACCACGATACTATGGACTGTTTGAAGTGATCCAAAAGATAGCGTAGGTGGCCTACAAACTCTTGTTGCCCAATGGTTCAAAAATCCATCCCATGTTTCATGTGTCTTACCTAAAAGAGGAGGTTGGAACGACAACGGTGGTTCAAAAAGATTTGCCAATTGTTCAGGAAGGAGGAGACGGCATGGTACCTTAGTCGCAAGCAATTCTCGTCCGTCGCATTCGGAAGCATCAAGAGGAAGTCCTGGTGCACTGGACGGGTCTCACACCTTCTAAAGCCACGTGGGAGAATCTGAAGACGCTTAAGTTAAGGTTTCCTG